TCTACCGCGAGACCTGCAGTCGCGATTGGAGTGGTTGGACAGATTGGACCAATTGGGACACTACACACCGTGGCGCGTCTCGGGGCCCCGTCTGTACCCAGCGGCCGTGCACCGACGACCGGACTGCCCCGGGGCTCAGCAACACCCCCCCGAATGACCTAACCGACCCGAACACCGGGCGGTACATGCACAAGGCCCCGCTGGACGAGGTCCACCTCTCCCCCATCGGTGATGCGAGCCATGCGTCCATGGTGAAGCGCCTGCAGAGAGAGCTCGGGGAGTACTTCAGCGGCCTCTGGCACCAGTGGACTTATCAGCACCCCCCCAGAACTCCCTCGCCTGCGCAGACCTTCCAGACAGGATCCTGGGTCCTGTGAGGCATTCCTCCGGACCTGACGCCACCACGGCTACAACCCACCGGCAATGGACAAGGCCCTCCGCCTTCGATCCAATTGGACGGTTATCCGCGATAACTTCGCCAATCGGGGGGAAGGAAAAAGTGCCCCACACAAGGGCAATGGCAAGGGCCATCGTGCAGCCAGCGCTTCTTGGCAGCTGGACCAGGGGGCCTCCAGCCGTGCCGCGAGCACCCGCCGGCCCTGGGTACGGCAGTGGGCCCCTCCGCGCGTCTGGGAGCCTTACTATTGCCCGACACCCAGCACTTGTTGCGCTCCCCCTCCTTACCAAGACCCGCGGCCGTTAGTCGCCTCCGCCTCGCGATTCCTCGTTGCTTCATCCAACTTGCGACCGTTAGTCGCCTCCTCGTCCGCCACTGGCGCGACTCCCCCCGCGGGCGCCGGCTTCCCTGCCGCTCCCTGCGCCCGCGAAGTCCATGCTCGGGCTCTGTTCCCCTCCGCCCACCAGGCTCCCCGCCCGCGCTACTTGCGGCCCCCTCGGAGGCCGCCCAGGCCTCGTGCCCAATACCGCCTGGCGCGCGCCCAGCTGGGGCTGTCGGTCCGAGCCTGGCCTCCCAGGGCGCCCTTGTCTCTGGGTCGCTTGTGGCCCCCCGCCCCGCTGGCGCCGGGCCAGCCCCCTCGCCCCCGCCTTAGGTGGCCGCACGGGGCCCCCTCGGCGCTCCCCCCCCGTCTCTTGCCGCGAGACTTCGGGGCGCCCGGAGCGTTTCACCGCCGTGTCTGCTCCCCACGGCACCCGCCCAGCGGCCTTGCCCCGCACAAGGCGCCGCTTGGGCCTCTCCTTTGCCGCATGGCTGTCGCGGGCCATCCCTCTCGGGTCCCCGCCTGCCCTCTGCTGCCCCCCCGCCCGGGCCTTCCAGCCGTTCGGCGCGCGGCCGGAGGCACCCCCTCAGCCCGGGGCGCTGACCTCCTGGTCTCCCCCATGGGGGTCTCTCCCAGGCGGTCCCCATTCACGAGTCTCGCGACCGTTAGTCGCTCTTCGTCCGCCCCTGGCGCGACTCCCCCCTGCGTGCGCCAGCCTTCCCGCCAGTCTCCAGCGCCCGCGCGGCCCGCCCCCGGGCTCTTCTCCAATCTTGCGGCCGTTATAGTCGCTCTTCGCCCGCCCCTGGCGCGACTCCCCCCTTGCGGGCGCCGGCCCTCTCGCCCGCCCCCGGCGCCCGCGCGGCCTCTTCGGCCTCCTTTCCCCCTTCTGCCTCGCGCCACGCCCGCCCTCCCCGCGACCCCTCCGTGGCCGCTGTGGCCTCGTGCCCAATACCGCCCGGCGCGCGCCCAGCTGGGGCTTTCGGCGCGCGTCCGGCCTCCCAGTGCGCCGTTGCCACTGGGTCCCTTGTGGCCCTTCGCTTCACGGTGCTGGGCCACCCCACTTGTGCCTTGCCCTGCGTGGGGCGCTCGGGGCCTCCCTCGGCGCTCTGCCCCGTTTCTGGCTCGGGGGGCTCCGGGGCGTCCGGGACGCTTCCCTGCCGTGGTTTGCCACCCACGGCGCCCCGCCCGGCAGCCCTTGCCCTGCTCAAGGTGCCGCCTGCTGGCCTCCTTGGCGGCCGGCGCGGACCGTCCCTATCTGTCGTCCGCCTGTCCCCGGCTGCCTCTCTGGCTCTGCCCGCCGGCACTTCTTCCGGGGGCCCGCGGCCTCCTCGCTGGCGTGGGTCGACGGACTCCCCGTCCTCCCCCACCGCGCGGGCTCCTCCCGGATGGTCCGCATGCTGGGCCCCCTCGCCTTCTTGGTGTCTCGCGCCCCCCGCACCCACCCAGACGGCACACTCCTCGACACCTGTCCCGACGGTGTCTGGCGAGCCCGGTTCTGGTCCGTTGCGCGCCCGCATGGCGTTGGTCGACACCCACCGAGGCGCGCGACACGGCTGTCACTTGCATCCGCGGTACCGTGATTTGGCGTTGGATTCGCTGTGTGTCCTGCTGATGGTCCTCCTCTGCATGTTCGTGGTGCCTTACAACTCGAATTCCGCCACTCTTGGTGTTGCAGTTCACCTGGAAGATGCTTCTGGTCGACAGCGCGCTCTCCCTTGAGCGGCAGCGAGGCTCGCCTCCTGTTTGTTCCTCTCCCCGCGTTCTCCTTCTTTTCTTTATTGTCCTCTGTCGGTGCGCGTAATTCAGGCCGCCGCTTGCTCGTTGCGCCCTTGACGCCGCCCGATTTCTCTCGACGCGGTTGCGATCGCAAGAAGCCCACCAGCCCCCAGGCCACTTGCCCAGATCAGGGATGCGGAGGATCATGCGGTGGAATGCAGGACTGGGGAAGCCGCCGTGCCCCAAGAGGGGGAGAATGGAGGAGGAATGGGAGGAGAGGAGGGAGGGGGAGAGGGGAGGAGGGAGGAAGCAGGAGGATAAGGAGGAGGAGGAGGAGGAGGAGGAGGAGGAGGAGGAGGAGGAGGAGGAGGAGGAGGAGGAATATGCGGATGTTGAAGAGGGCGAGGAGAATGAGGAGGATGGCGAGCAGACAGGCCACAGGCCTCGTGGATGCTTCTCGGATTCTCTTCGGATGTCTCTTGAGACTGTCTCAGGGTCCTGGAGGCCCCTTGGCGGCCCCAGGGGCCTGGGTGTCCCTGGAAACATTTTTTTACGGGGTCTCGTGTGAGCCTCTTGGGAGCTCTTTGGGCCTCTTGGGGCCTCCTGGGCGCCTGTTGGGGGCCTCCTGGAGCTGTCTTGGGGCACCCTTGGGGGGCATCTTGGGGCCATCTAGAGGGGATCGAGCATAGAAAGGTGGAGTGCTCAACTAGACTCCCCACCTGGGTCCAAACCTTTAAGTAACATCAATGACTCTTGTCTTCTCGCCGAGGCCTTCGGGTCGAGGTACCCTCTGTCCCGGGGGGTGGGGGTAGGGGGAGGGGGGAGGGGAATAGGTCATTCCCACCCCCCTCCCAACACATAAGTAGCACCCGGGCCCCAGCATGTGCAGCGGTCATCTTTGGATGGGCAGACAATGGGAACCCAAAACAGATCCCATGTGCGCAACGCTGAGGCGAAGTGCGCCACGCGTGCCAGCGCGCCACGCACCATCAGGTACGCCATTCACCTCTGTCGTCCAAGCGTGCCACGCACGCCTGGTGCCGCATGCTCCGGCCGCGCCAGGTGCGCCACGTTCGGGGCACGCGCAGAGGGCAGATTGTGCAAGATGCGCCTGCGCACGCGTTAGTACACATTTGGAAACGTGTCGGCCCCCCCCCACCCTTGCCGAAAACGAGTGCGCAATCGCAGCGGGGTGGCCATCATAGTATTTGGTGGGCATGCACTCAGCAGGCAATATGCTAGCACCCCCGCCGTCCCAGTCAAAAGCCAACGCACAGTGATCGCGAGGTGCCCGTGCATGATCGAGAGTTTGCATCGAATTTCATGTTGATTTTTGTTGACAGGGATGCTGGCCCTGCGCGCAGCTTGTAATATGCGGGCACTGCCGCCTTCCCGATCAAAAAGACAATGCAAAGTGTTCGCGCCCCCCGATCTTGACCCAAGATTTTGTTTCACAGTGGACTTCATATTGTTTTGTTGGCAGGGATGGTGGGGGGGCTGCCAGTTGCCTGGGGGAGGGGGTGCATAGAGAACAATGATAAACCCATCTCCACAGGGAAAGAAGGGGGGTTGGAAGTGGATCTAAACAACTTACGCCCTAAGGTCTGGTCGGGTTACTGAAGCGCTTGGTGCGAGAACCCCTTAGTGCAAGCAAGCTCTGGTTGTGGAGTGTTGGAAGTCAAGTGTGAGCTTGGACCCTGACGTCGCGATCTGCGAGATGGGGCGCGTCCTTCCGCAAAGTTAACGCCAGGAAAAGATAGCGAAAGGCTTCAAATGAGTCGTCTTGGATATCTACTCCGTCAGAGAGGTGCGCAGAAGAATATGTACCAGCTTCTCTCGTACAGGAGGGGCCTCACAGCCAGCACCGCCGACCCTGAAGGGGCATCAGCTGGCCCCGGCAAGGCAGCGAAGAGCCCGAGGAGAGTACGAAGGCAGGTCGACAATAATCCCAAAAATAGCTTGCACAGCACGTCGAGAGTGGAGAGGAGACATAGCACCGTGTAGCCTCTATCTAGTGGCATGCGGCCCATCCTTCACGGTTGGGAGCATTTGTTTAGCGTGTCGTGGCGGCGGATGCCCAGCGAGCGGATAGCGTGTCGTTCCGCTCCGCCTGGCGGGTGGCTGGGCAAGTCCCAGGACATTTACGCTCGGCGATTGGGGCGCGGGTAGCGCGTCGCTCCGACGCGAAGTGGGCCAGCTCCAGCGGCGCAACACGCCGAGCCACGTGTTCTGGCCGTATCTCCTCTTCCCTTCAAGGAGTGGCGAGGCGTCCTGGCTTGCCTATCGGCCCACCAAAGATTGCTCTGAGCGCCATGTGTGTGTGTGTGTGTCTGCACGAACTGGTCTCAGAACACGTTTGGCCGAGGCCATCATGCTTTAATCCATCGGCGTTCTGGTCAGATGCTTCTCTGCTCTTCTGAGGGATGCTGGGGCGGTCGTTCCCTGCTCGATCACCGGTCCCTCTCCCCTTGCTCGGAGGAGGGGCGGGGCCACGGCGGAAGGTCGCCACAGCCCCGCGCCCCGTGGGGAGAGGGGCGCCGCCGGGGCGGGTGCGGCCCCGCTGCGCAGGATGCACAACGACTTCCGCGTCGCGCAGGCCTCCCCCGAAGGGGAGGGGGGAGGGGGGGGGGGGCGTTCTCTTGTGCGACGAGGTGGGGTGGGGGACTTAAGTGGGGAGGGGAGGGGAAGGTGCAAGATCAGGGAGGAGGAGCGAGCGAGGAGGGAGGAGGAAGGAGGAGGAGGGGGAAGCGGATGAGGAGAAATGGGATCCGCGTCGCGGCGCAGGCTTCCCTTGGGAGAGGGGGGGATTCTGACGTGCGACAGCGGAGCGATCGATGGGGGGGGGGAAAGGAGGAGGAGGAGGAGGAGGAGGAGGAGCAGGAGGAGGAGGAGGAATGGGAAAGGAGGACGCCCTCGGGTGCAAGGCCAAGACACGGCGCCGTGGCAAGACACATTGGGTTTGTAAGGATTTTGATGTTTGCCTTGAGTGGTTGAGCTTAGCCCTCGCCTCCTCTCCTCCTCCTCCTCCTCCTCCTCCTCCTCCTCCTCCTCCTCCTCCTCCTCCTCCTCCTCCTCCCCCTCCGCGTCCCCCTGTCCAAGTACCTCTGCCGAGGCTGTCTGCGCAGCTGCTTTCGCAGCCCTGCGCGACAGCTGGTCTGACAACCGTGCGTGCGCGGCACGGTCTGCGCCGCGCCTGCCATCGCAGCGCCGGCATTTGTATCAGCGAGCGGCCGAGGCTCCCTCAGAGGGTGAGCGCACGCGGCTCCGCTGCCAGGCATGGCATCTTTTAACGAGCGAAGAACGGTATAAAATAAACTTTTCGCCGTCGGGGACACCTGCCCCAGGGCGGCTGGAAAGTTTATACCTTTACGGTGGCACCGTAGGGGTATAAACTTTCCAGTCGCCCAGGGGCAGGTGTCCCCGACGGCGAAACAGTTTATTTTATACCGTTCTTCGCCCGTGAAATCTTCTGCAGGCGCACGTGCGCCAGGAGCAGGCGCGGAAGGCCACGGTTACCATCAGGCAGGGTCGGGTGTTTAAGAAAGCTTCCAACTTGCGATCCGTTTCCGGGATGCACTTGCCATCTCTCCCCAATGCACCTGATGCCGAAGTGCAGTACCAGTTATCTTATTATCCAGCCGAGTGGGCCGCGGCGGTCAAACCATGTTTTGACGCTATATGGGGGTCAGTCGACCCAGCATCGGTCCTCCCTTTGTTGGATTTTGTCTTCGCGGCGGAGGGGCACGAGCCCGGATTCACTGCTGCAGAAGTGTCGGCTGCGCTCGCCCGCCCCACAAATAGCGTCAAATTTGATCATGACGGGCGTTGTGTGCGCATGCACGATATGATATACAAGTGCGTTCCTGGCCTCACTATTCGCTTTTTGAACGAACTAGTGGCTTCTAGCGCTACCATGTCCAGGATTGGTGTTGCGGGGCACGTGAGGGGGAAGGGAACCTCCACCCCCAAACCCACGCAGATCCGAGCTATCATGCCCCTCCCAGCTGATCTCCAAGTTCTGGAGCGTTTGATCGCTCAGCGTCTCAGCGAATGGATCAATGAGCACGGTGCTGTGCCACAGTGTTGCTGGGTTGGAGCCGGCCATTCACGCAAGCATTGGACATCACGCGCGCTCTGCACCTCGTTATCGAGAGAGGTCTGGACGACCGCAGCCAGTCGGCAATGGCTCAGAGTGGTATTGAAGCCTATTATGACTCTCTCCCTGTCTTGGGGGTGTTGTAGTGGTGCGTGTCTCGAGGGATGCCGTTGGCGCTCGCGGCAGCAGCGGCGCGCCATCAGTTGCTCCCAGTAGTGAGTTTGCGCGCTGGAGACGTGGATGCGGAGCTTGGAAATCGAATTTGGCGGAAGTCTCACTGGGAGCCGGGTGGCCTGTGCTTTGGGCCGCATCCCAGTCGAGGCAATTCTCGGGAAGATGTCGGATGTCTGCCGGTAGCGGGGCTTCCTGTTGGGCGAGTTCCAGCAATTAGCCATTGCCACATACGTTGACAACATTTATTCCGTCAACAACTCCCTGTATAACGCGACGTGTTTGTTGGATGCGTTCGAGTTCCATCTTTCCTCCGACTGGGGACTCCGCATGAAGGGTTCCAGCAAATCATGCATGGTTGCTGCAGGAGGGGACGCATCCGTTTCAGACCCAGCTGTTTGGAACCGTCGGCGTCTTTTGAGGCTTTGGGCCACATCCTGGAAGATACGGGATCGTGCACGATGTGTTGATAGGACTATGGCCGCCATGCGGCGTACGTTTTGGGCCAATTGTGCCGTGCACCGCCTGCGAGACGTCCACCTGCGGCAACGTCGCAACGTCTTCGCATGCTCGATCGCTTTGTGCTGCCAGCGTTCGACTATCGATGCAGCCGGTGGCCGCCCGCCGCAACCCTGGAGGGACGCATCGACACTTGTCAGCGCCGCATGGTCAGCCTCCTGATGCGGGTGCAGCAACAAGCTGCTGAAGAAGCGCCGGCCTACTTCCGCGGCAGAGCCCGGGAAGCCACGGATCTTTGTAGACAGAGGCGTTGGTGGAGCCATCGCCATTGCACTCGAGTTCTGAATTGGCGAAAGCACATCGAGCGTCCGCGAAACCGTCGTTTTTGGGCGGCGCAGTTCCTACACTTGCAAGGCGAGCGCTGGCTCCAAAACCGGAGGACGCAGCTGAACAGCTACAGCGATCATGCCGGACGCACGGAGACGAGATTGGCAGCGCGTCGTCCACGACAGCGGTGGCACGATGGAGCCAGGTTTGCTTTAGAGCACGTGCTGCCTGGCTCGCGCGCTGTTCTTTATCCTCTCTGGTCCCTCCCCCCCTCCCCTTCGCATGATCATGCAGTCTTTCCGTAGTTCCACCGTTGCAGCGGGCGGCGCGCCTGCATTGCACCTTTCTTCGTCTAGTGCGTTTTGCGCACGCGGCTTGCGGTGTTACCGCGCCTTCTGATTCTGATTATGAGGAGGAGGAAAAGAAGGAAACTAAGGAACAGAAGGAGGAGAAAAAGAAGGAGGAGGAGGAGGGACGGAGGAAGGACGGAGGAAGGAGGGAGGAAGGAGGGAGGAAGGAAAGAGGAAGGAGGGAGGAAGGAGGGAGGAAGGAGGGAGGAAGGGGGGAGGAAGGAGGGATAACGAGGGGTAGGAGGGAGGAGAAGGAGGAGGAGGAGGAGGAGGAGGAGGAGGAGGCGGGGAAGGAGGAGGAGCAGGGAGGAGGCGGAGGAAGAGGAGGAGGATCAGACGTACATCAAGCAAGGATGCATCAACGATTCTGCAATACACCCCCCCCGTCTCAAGTCCCCTCGTCACGAGTCTCTGAGAGTATTCTTTCTTTCATAGGCGAGTCCCTATAAGCATTCCTTTTCACTACGGGGAGGCCCGCCGTGGCTCAAAGCCGCGTGCTGCCGTGGCTCTCCTCCGCCGTTTCGCGCCGCTGGCCTGCCCCAGCATCTAGGCGCTCCTCGAGGAGACGCTGGCGGGAGCTCGCGGCCATCCCCCGAAGTGCTCACGGCGGAACTGTTCGTCAATGCGCTTCCACGTGATGTGGGACCGCAAGGGTACGTTCAGCCGTTGCAGCGGCCGGTGGGTGGGCCCGCCCCCTCACAGGGACAATCGCTGTCGGCGCTGAGGACCTCAAAGGAGCAGACGAAGCTGGGCAGCAACGTCAAGAGCGGAGCGACGAGACTCGGAAGATCACTGGTCGACGACGGCATGGGCTGGGTCGGGCTGACCGCCGACATGAGCCCGAGTGGTCTGCCGGTGCAGCTGTACCCTTACATGGCGTGCGGTAAGCGCCCGCTACCGATCGCCCAAGGCGACGACGTGGACGGCATGTTCGCCAAAAACATTGAGATATCATAATCAAGAATATCGACACGACCATGGGCGGGCATCAGGTCATGCAGCGCTGATCCACGACTGCACCGCTGATCATCCATGCAGCGCTCATCCGGAGGTGTTTCAGGTGTGGCTGCGTCACGCCCTCGAGGTGTACAGTTTGATTTGCTACGACTTTCGATCGGTTCTCCTCCTTCCCCCGTGTCCTCCCGCTTCCTCCACTCTTCTCTCGATCGTCCCCTCTTGGTCGTTGCCGTCCTGTCGCCTTCTCGTCTGTCGTTGTCGGTGGGTTGGCCCCGTGCGGGGCGTGTACTTTTTTCTCTTATGCGGTCACTGCCGCTTTATAGATGTTGTGCGTGCGGGCCGATGGGCGTGCCGCCAGCAGCGCAGGCGTTCCGCTGAGCATGTTGCATGATCGCCGGTCGTTTCGCCCTGTCTGGCCGCGCAGTCTGCGCATGCCACGCCGCTAGCGAGGGCTAGTGACTTCGATGCACGCGGAGCTCCAGGTCTTGGATGCGTGGGCGGTGTTGGGCGGTGGCACGGGGGCCGTCCTCATTGCCACTTTGGGGTTCGACGGCAACCTTCGCCCCGCTGTCACGCATGTGGGCAGGTCCATTGGGAAAGTGGCCCTTATATTTATACTCCAACCACTCTTTGAGAGTCTGTTTGATGACCTCCCTGGTGTCTCCTCACAGTTCAGAGATTTGGTGGCGTAGTCTGGTCAGACTATGTCCGGCCCCGGCTTGAAAGCTTGCCTTGTCGTCGGCCTAGGGTTTTGCGGGTGTCAACATGATTCCGGTATGATCTCTTTCACTTGTGGCATAAGCCAAGCGCGGCGTTGCGCTGTCCATTGAAAGACGGGTGCCGAATAGGCTTGCTGTTCAGGTGAGAGCCCCGTTTAGAAGAAGAATAGGTCCGCATATTTGTAGCTAGAGTTTGTGATGAGGTCGGGCTGCGATGTCAAATGTGTCCAGTGACATTCCAGTTTTGAAAAAAATGCTGGCTTCCGTTGGGGAAAATGGTGCGCACACGTACATGCATGCCACATCATCAGCAAGGTTCAAGCGAGGTTTCGGATTTAAAGGTGACCGTCTTGCATCATTATGCATATTTGCATTTGTTTAGACGGAGTGCTCGGTGCCCCCCAAGCAAAATAACGAGAGCCAACATTAGTTGAACACCGGTCGCCCTCTCTCCGTGTTGGTGTTGGCATATATCACACCAGAGAGAAACACAAATTTATGGATGGTTCGAAAATTTGGCATGCATCATGCCTGGTTGCAGCTTCTCCGTACGGCCTGAAGAGACGCCCTAAATTGGGTTGTGGCATCTCGCTTTTTTTCAGCATCCGTCGATACCGGCTCAGTACGGCCCTGCGACAGACCGACGAGAACGAGCAGACGGCGAAGGCACTTGTGTCTCAAGACTGCTTCACGGGAGCCCAGAGTAACCCCGGGACGGCCCGAATGAGGTGGATGTGACGGCGTTTTTCTTATGCCTCCTGTTGCCAATGATCATGGTCATCACACCGTGCATCAACATCATGATCATAATCATCATCAGCCCCAATATCATCGTCAACATGTTCATTCTGACTCAACATCCTAATCATCAGAATCATCAGAATCATCATCATCATCATCATCATCATCATCATCATCATCACCGCCGTCGGCGTTGGGTTTTCATTGCCATCGTCATCACCACTCGACCAGCAAGAACCTAGACGGATCTGCTGGAGCGGCGGTGGTATTTGCCGCAAGGCATCTGGAGATTCGCAGTATCGATCGATCGCACTCCTTTTCGATCGCACTATCGATCGAGAGATCGATCGTGCGATCGATAATGAGGTCGATTGAGTGAGATCCATCGTCGTGCGATTGGGAGAGATACTGATAGTGGCATCGATAATAAGAGCAATATTGATATCGATAGTGAGATCGATTGGGTGAGATGGATAGTGAGATCGATCATGAACCCTGAACCGGGAACCCGGGTATCGAGCCGCCCACCGAAATCGGCCGGGAGTTTTCGCCAAATCGCTCAACCTCCGCTAGGACCTTTCCAGGGCAAGCACTGATTGGAGAATGCATCGAATTTGCGTTGGACTATGGAGAGGGCCACAATTTCGAAAACGGTCCGCTCTCCGTCCTGGTAGCTCTTGAAAACTGTAGGACGCATGCGCGCGACGGTGCTAAAGCCATTGCCGCGTTCCGCAACCGACCCACACTCAGTCTTTGCAATTGTTGGAAGCTGTCGGGCACATGTTTGTGGAGCTAATGCGAGAGCTGCTTTTGAACTCGACCCGCCCTCCACCGTTGAAACTGTTGGAGATGTCCACCTGCAGGTTCACTAACTGTCAGGACGTCTCAGGGGAAGCGACCAGTCTGCCGTTCTGACGTCTGCTTGTGCGACGGTGAGGAACTAGCTATAAGGAAGAGGGCGAGGGGGGTGAGGTAGAGGAGGAGGAGGTGGAGGAGGGAAGAGAACGAAGAACGGAGGATACGAAGGAGCAACAGCAGGTGGAGCAGGAAGAGCAGGATGAGCAGAGCAGGAGAGGAGAGAGGAGGAGCGAGAGGAGAGAAGAGGAGGAAACGAGTATACGGATGACGGAGGAGATGGAGGAGGAGGAGGAGGAGGAGGAGGAGGAGGAGGAGAAAGATGAGGACGAGGAGGAACAGGAGGAGGAGGCATCGCCACTTCCAGATCCGAGAGGCCTGCCCGGACGGACGGACGGGGGTATGGCGGGTAACGGCGGAGGGATCAAGGGAGTGGAGAGCCTTGGATCGAGTTTCCAAATGTTCAAATGTTTCGAACACGTTGGATGTTCTGGTGGCCTAGTGGACACCTTGGGGCAGGGCCACTTCTGCTTGCACGCGAACAAGATTTTGCAGGGGCTGGGGGGAAGGATGGAAAGGGATGGAGGATGGCTGTATGAGTATCTCCTCGTCCCCCCATTCCCTTTCCTCTTCACTCCCCCCCCACCCCTTGCCGCATCATACCTGATCCTCCGAGATGAATCGAAGGAGAGCAATCGTAGAGACAGAGGAAAGGCGGAGGAGTATCCCATCCTTCCTCTCCGTCGTCTCTTGTAAGCGTGCACGCTCCTACTAATCCCCTGCAGGGCCTATTTCGATTTGATTGATATTGTTCGATGCCGATTCCAACTTGCTCGGTCCGACTCGATTCCGGGAATCCCAGGATCCGATGCTTCTCCACGTGTGCTTGGCTTCTCAGAAAATGCCCTAGTGGATCGACGCCTCCAGCTTTTTCTCCCTTGGGACTCCCCCCCCGCCCAGACTTTCCTTTACTCTTGAGAAAATGGAAATGGTACATAGTCTTCCCGCAGAAGAAAGACGTATAAGGAATGCGTAATAGAAATGACACCATTGCGGCGGAATACCCTAAACAGTTTGTCACAGTCTCGATGGTTGCTAGGATCGGACGTTACAGTGGGGGGGGGCACGATGAGGAGATCGGGATTGGGATAGGGATAGTTAGGGTTAGGAAGCAAGCTATGCCAATGCGCTAGCCGTGTCGCTCACTTCCTACCCGCTCACCCAAGATATAGACAGCATCCGAGCCATGGACCCCGATCCCAATGAGTTCATAAGTTAGGGCCCTCTCGGAAGCCCAGTGCCGAGCATTCAGTGGGAAGGTTGAAGCCGCAAGCATCAGCACGAATTGGCAAATCGTGTTGCCTTCATGTCGCGTGCCCAGACGGGATCCTGATCAGTTGGTGCGGTTCTTTGTATGGTCGGGCATGCGCTTTATGTTGTTGGTCTTGTGGTTCCGAGAATGGAGGATTGAGTTTTCTTGTGCGTCGTTGGTTGGTTGGTTTTCTGGGCTTCCCGAGGCGCCCAGAAGCTTCCGCAGGGCCCCCCAGGACCTCGGATCATTCGGTGATCTCACGCGCTTGGGTGCCCCCGCGGGGGCCAGCGGATTCCAGAGGGATCTTCCTCAAGAGACACAGCAACGGCCAATTCGCAGGTCGGTGCCGATATAGGGCACCACATGTGTGTGGGTCGACCCGCCTCGGCGCCCCACTTGGAGGGGCAGCGGTGTTGAAATTGAGAGGACTGAGAGGATGTCCGAGTGGGAGCCGCCCTCTAACCTCTACATCCTGTCTGCTATCCCCCCCCCCCGCCCCATCGAAACGTTCCCCTTGGCGCCGCCCCTCCGCCAGCCCGAAAATAACAGGCACTTGGGGGGGCGCCCCGTTCAGCGAACCCCACTGCGCCAGCGGGGGTCCCGAACCCCCAGTGGGGCTGGCTGAGCGGATGCGGCTCCAAACAGGAGGATCTGGTGCCTGGAACCTTGTCGCCACGGGCGGCTCCGCTCCTTCGGATGGGCACAGCCGCTCCAGGCCCCTTGCTCCCGATCCCTTAGCTTTTAATGTACTGCGTCGACCCTCGGAGACGGGGCTGCGCTCCTGGCGGAAAGCTGGCTGGGTCCCACGGAAGCTGGCGGCAGTGTTGCTCGGGCCCACGGATCAGACACAACTGCGTGCAGTTCTGGAAGTGGTTGCGCCGTCCCGCCTTAGAGGACGAGGCCGCGCTTTCCGTCGGCTTCCTTCCGCGCAGGGAGGGCGCGGCTTGGCAGGGCGGGTCCAGGGTGGGCAATGGCTCTGTCAGACGACAGTGCGCCGCATGGCCCGCGCAATCCACAGTGCCAGCGCGCTCCGCGGCGTCCCTGGAAACACCGCTGCTGGCGTGGGCCAGTGGGCCGGTGTGAGCGACAGCGCCCGTGCACCGCAGCGCCTGCGAAAACCGCAGTGTTTCTGCGCACCACAGCGCCCGCGCACGCCTCATGGCTTTCGCGCCACGACGCGCGCTTGCATGGCAATGCAAAGGCGATCATTGGGCGCCCGCGCACGGCCTATGTTTTGCCGCAGCGTGTGCCTTCCGTTGTGTTTGCTGACGGTAGTTGTGGGCCTGGACAGAGCGGACGGACAGCATGAGGGCACCCCCGCTGCCCCTGCCGAGCAACAGTTGCAGAGTGCTCACGGGGCGCCCGCGCACGGTCCAGATCCTGCCGCAGTGTGCACTTCGGTTTTTTGATGGGGATGGGCGGGGGGGCGGTGTTGGCATTGGCCCGGGTGGTTCGCCGGTTGATTCGATCGTATATGGATATTGAGCGTCGGTATAGGACTGACGGGAGATAAACCGGAGACAATGGGAGATAACGGGAGGTAGCGGGGGCCAATGAGAGGCAACGTCGCCGGACCGAAATTGGACCCGACTCGTTTCTCAGAACTCAGCCTTGCGGCAGAAGACCCTAAACAGTTTTTCACAGTCACGATGGGGACCACGATGGGGGGGCCACGATGGGGGGTCACGAGGGGGGGCCACGGTGGTGTGATCGGTGAAGGGGTCTGGATAGGGACTGGGATCAAGCTATCCCAAGCCGCAAGCTGTCTCGCTCACCCCTCACCCGCCCTCACACTACGTAAGGAGCGCCCGAGTCTCAGCACAGGCAGGGGCCGCCATTGCCAACCATCGGGAATCGATGCAGGCGCCATCCAGTTGCGCGATGCCCGCGAGATGTGCCGCACATGCCAGGCGCGCCATGCGCTCCAGGTGCGCCACATTTGGGCAGTGCGTCGACCGCTCCACAGTCCCTGTCAACAACCACTGCTAAATTACGGGGGTCGAGGGCGCGGCGGGGGGGGACCAGAAGCAGCGCCGCAGCTGACGGGGAGCGGGTCCGCGCCTCGACCCCCTGGTCCTCCTCGGCTCCTCTGGGCCCCCGCCCGCCCCCACAGCGGCAGCAGGGGGGAGCGTCGGCAGAAGGAGGAGAGGGCGAGTCGGGGGCCTCAGGCGGGGCCACAGGGGCCTCGGGCACAAGGACGTGCCAAGCAGCACTCGGATCCATAAAGAGGGCCAGGCCGACCACCTTAATGGAAACAGCATTGAGGACTGTCGCTCGTAGCATCAGTGATGAGCTTCGCTGCCATCCGAGCCGCAGCCTTTCACGCCTGCGCCGCGACCAGCAGACTACCCTCGAGAAACAGGACCGACCACTCATCCGCAGCGGCTAGGTGAGCGCCACGCTTTGTGTGCTCATCTGCTCTGAAGTTGCCTACCAATCCGACATCAGTGAGTTTCTCGTCCCTGAACTGCATCATCGAGCAGTGCGCAGGGACATGCTGCAAAAGAAGCGGAACAAGGTCCTCTCTGATATGCACCCTGAGCCACAGATGCGCTCAGGGGTTGGCCACGCCGGAAGCTTTGCACACATCCCTGATTGTGGCTGGGCAGTCAGCCCGGAGAAAATAACGAGCCCGTGACGTGAACGCTGGCCATGTATACAGCGTAGTCTTCACCATCCTTAGCCGTGCTTGTGATGGCACACTCGGGCAGCAAAGGCCCCGATATGATTCCCCTGAAAGTACCTTCACGATCGACACAAAACACACAGGACCAACCTGCACCCCCAGGGGTGGGGAACCTCACGTGCAGGCTCGACCCATCCGTAAGCACAAAACCGCCTTTCAACCCTATTGGAAGCTCGACCATCGTGTCCATGAAGGTCCATGACGGGTCATAGGTTAGCCGACTGACAGCCACCAGGAAAGAGGCCTCCAGCGAACCTTTCGCGCCAAGCATGGGGGGCTGGGCCAACACGTCAAGCTGCTCTCAGCAACTCGGGGAATATAGTGACGCGTCTCCATGCCTCTTGGCGCGGACGCGCGTAGCCTCTATGTTTTTACGTCCCTTGTGCTCCCCCGCACAGCAAACACACAGGCGAGGAGGAGGGAGGAGGAGAAGGAGGAGGAGGAGGGAGGAAGGAGGAGGAGGAGGAGGAGGAGGAGGAGGAGGAGGAGGGGGAGGTTGCTGGAGGGAGGAGGAGGAGGAGGAGGAGCGCGGGGCCCAGGACCGGCACCTCGAGCCCGGCGCCCGCCGCAGCCCGACGGAGACCTTCCAGCGACTGCTCGCCCTCGCCAGGTCCCCCCGCCTCCCCCGAAGGACAGCAACGCCTGCCCCGCACCCCCGGCCAGGATCCCCCTCCCGACCTTCACGAGCGGCGAACGCATCCGCATCCGCACCCTGACGGTCTGTGTTCTGCGGCGCGATCCAGCGGATACGCGGTCTCACGGATACGTTTCGCGCGGGGCACACGCGAAGAATACGCCCCGTATCGTATCCACGGGGTCGCGGCCCAGAGGCCCGGCCCGCGCCATTGACCGGCTGTTTTTTTTTGCTGCCCCTCAGGAGCCCCTCCAAAAATTATTCCGATGGTAGGACCCCACATGAGAATATGTTTAGCTTTCCCTAAACCCTTTCCTCCTCTCCCTGGCGGACACTCTCCTCTCGCCCTCTGCTCTGCAAATCGATGTTCCTCGGCGCCCTCGCCGCCTGGGCAATCACGCGCGCGTTTGCCGACGGCTAGATCGCGAAACCGTCGGGACAACCCTTCGGGCCAGGCCGTTGGACAACCCCGCGAGCCGCTGGGGCACGAGAGCAAGCCGTTGGGACAACCCCGCAGGCACCGAGCAAATCGCGGCCGCGCTCAGGCGGGAAACGACACGAAACCCAGCTCTGCCGCGAGCTGCGCCGCCCCAGCCCTGGAGTCCACTGCTCTCTTGTCGAATTCCCCGAGCGCCTTCCGCAGGGACGCCGGCGGCCCGCGCTCCAGGAAGTCTCGCGCGGGCGGCCGCAGGATCAGCATGTTCCGCATGCGCGTGGCGCGGGAGAACATGACGTAGAGGTGCAGCCACCACTGCTCGTCCGACATGCCCGTGCGACCAGCGTCCTCATCCCTGGCGCAGTCGATGGTGACGCCCTTGCGCAGCGTCTGACCCTGCGACAGCGTGGAGGTCAGGTAGGACGCGTGCGTCAGGGTGAACCCCGAGCGGCGCACAGCGTGCGGCCCCGAGCTCTGTCACGTGAGCTCCTGCTCGCTGGGCCTGAACATGAGCAAGCTCCTCGCCCGCGCCTCGGCCGCGCCGTCGTCGTCAGCGCCCTCGGCGCTCTGCAGCAGCACTTCGGCGACCTTGTAGATCGGGGACTCCTTGAAGCCGTGGACCTGCATCCAGATTCCCTGCGGTAGGTAGCGGGGGCGCAAGAGCTGGCCCGGCGCGCACTCCTCGTAGTCTCGCTCGTCGTCTGCGTGAAACTCGAAGGACACGATGGTGGCCCGTTGCTCCTGCACGAGCCCCGACTTCTTCAGCTCCTCCTGCACGGCCGTTAACCGAACCTCCATGCCGACGTGTGCCGGTAAGACGCCGTGGATGTCCCCCGTCTTGTGCATGTTCGGGACGTTCACGAGGCGGCGGCCTGCGTCTGGGTCGCCTTGAATTGTGCCGCACTCGTCCACGGCCTGCAGGAAAACGAGGGGCACGCCCAGGCGCCGCGCGTCACGTCGAGCACGCGCGTTGATCCACCTCGCGAGCGTCTCCCACTAGATGACCATACCGAAGCCGAGCCGAAAGTTCTCGTGCTGGTGCCGAGGGTCCAGGACGCCGTGGTTGTCCGAGGCCAACGTCTTCTCCCAGGCAGACAAGACCTCTGGCGGGAAGCGCTTGCCCTCGCGCGTGCAGCCCGAGAACGCGATCAGAGGGTCCCCGGGCTCGAAGCGCTCGTAGGACCCGTCGTCCTGGCGCTCGTTCACGTCCGTCAGGAACCCGATGCTGCCAGTGGGCTTCGGCTGTAGGACATCGCCGAGGTGCAACACGATGGGGACGCGCCCGAAGTGGTGATGCGGCCTTTTGTAGGTGGACTCCTGCACGTCGTGTGTGTCACTGCGCCCGTGGCGGGCGCGAGAACCCAGCGCGTTGTACATAGCAGCCGCCACCATGCCCACCGCCTCGATGACCAGAACGCGGACGTGCTCCCACAACCACTTCCGCCTCTTTTGCATGCCTCCCGGCCTCATCTTCGCGTTGATGTATTTCTGGGCTCGCAGGGCACAGGCGTTGTGCAGCGCTCTGGCCTTCACAGTCTCCGTGGAGATGGTCTTCGCTTGCGCGTTCGAGAAAGCCACGACCATCATGGCGCCCTTGTCCTGCTCCGACGAGGGCCACAAATACTCCACCACTGGGGAAACGACCTTCTGCACCACGTGCGTCTTCACCGAGCCGCCCTGGCCCAGCAGGAGCAAGTGCGTCACTTTTCTCTCGCTCCAGGGCTTCTTCTGCACGTCGTCCTCCCAGGCGTCGGCGCAGGCCTTCGCGAGCTTGGCGACCCCCACAAGTGACGACAGTTACAGGTTGCCGATGACCCGTTCGGATCACCAACATGAAGTGCGGGCCCCATAGGGAAAGGGCTCCCGCTTGAGACCTCCTCTCAATTCACTCACAGACGAAGCTTCCGCCTGAGACTTCCTCCATACTCAAGCTTGAGGAGACCAAAAGTGACGACAGTTACCGGTTTCCGATGACCCGTTCGGATTACCAGCATGAAGTGCGGGCCCCATAGGGATGGGGGCTCCCGCCTTAGACGTCTTTGCGATTCACTCACAGACGAAGCCCCCCTTTGAGACTTCCTCCATATTCAAGCCAGAGGACCCCAAAAGTGACGACCGTTACAAGTTTCCGATGACACGCTCGGGTTACCAACATGAAGTGCGGGCCCCATAAGGAAAGGGCTCCCGCCTGAGGCGTCCTCGCAAGTCACTCACAGACGATGCTCCCGCTTGCGACTTCCTCCATATTCAAGCCAGAGGACCCCAAAAGTGACGACAGTTACAAGTTCCCGATGGCCCGCTCGGATTACCATCATAAAGTGCGGGCCCCATAGATGGGGGGGTCCCGCCTGAGACTTTTTCGCAATCCACTCCCAGACGAGTCTTCCGCCTGCGACTTCCTCCATACTCAAGCCTGAGGAGCCCAAAAGTGATGACAGTTACAGGTTTCCGATGACCCGCTCGGATTGCCATCATGAAGTGCGGGCCCCATAGAGGGGGGGCTCCCGCTTGAGACTTCCTTTATAGTCGAGCCAGAGGAGCCCAAAAGTGACGACAGTTACAAGTTTTGGACGACCCGCTCGGATTAAGGGGGGGTTCCGCCTGAGACTCCATCAGTATTCCTTCACAGACGGGGCTCCCGCTTGAGCCATCTTCCATCGTCAAAATGCGGAGTGAGTGATGACGAAGTGATGAGTGAATGGTGGTGATGATGATGATGATGATGATGATGATGATGATGATGAGTGAATGAGTGGTGGTTATGAATCGGATTCAGTGTGTGAGTGTGATGATGATGGTGATCATGAGAGCGTGCGAGTGTGTGGTTGATGAAAATGACGATGATGATGAATGAAGGAGTGAGTGGGAATGAGTGATTCGGAGGAAGAGAGGGGGTGTGGGTGAGGACTGCGCGGGGTGTCCAGAGAAAACAAGAACCCCACTTAGGATGTGGGGAAATGCAGCCCGTACCCCCTGGATCACCAGACCTGGCTGAGCGCGCCAGCGTCGGCGCGGAGGGTCAAGCTTGCGGCTGCCGGCTGTGCCGGCCCCGGCGGGCGGCTGAGCGCACGCCCCAGCGCGCGCCCCCCCCTCCCCCCCTCCGCGCCCCCGCCCTGCGCGCCTCTGTCGCGTCGTCTCTTCGTCGTCGTTTCTCCTCTTGTTTGCCATGGGGCTCATCTCCGATGGTTCAAAGACAAGGTCCTGGCTTGGGGGTGCGCGGTGGGCCGTGTTGTCCTCATCTCCGCCGCGGCGCGGCGCGACGCGGCCAGTCGGCCCCGCGCCGCGCGGCGTTCCGCGGACCGCTGCCGCCGAGGGCGTCGGGGACGTCGCCGTCGCCGCCGCCGCCGTCGAGGTTGTTGGACCCAGAGTCCTGACACAAGGGGGAACCCGATACGCGTGTATGAACATGATTTTCGAAAAAGACAGCGGCGTAAATGCAAGTGTTCGACGGTCGGCGCGTTCTTGGGTCTGTGTTGGGGCCCCCGAGCGGCGCCTCTGGCGTTGCCCCTGGCGCGCTCGCCTGAGGCCGAAATCGCCCTTGCCTGGCCGCTTGTATTTATTCTCGAGGGACAGATGTTGACACAGGCATGCACTTTCGGAGGTCCGCGCGGATTCATCGGAAAGGCGCTGGACACCATTCCCTGCGGAGCGCGCCAGGGGCGGCGCCGGAGGCGCCGCAGGAGGGCTCCAGCGCCGATCCGGGAAATCCGTGCAGACCTCGGTTCCCTGGGAGGGTCGTTCGCTCGCCCGCCCTCTGGCGCATGGGGCGTTGAAGACGGCATGCTCCGCGGCACCACAGCCTGCGGTGCCAGACCCACACGACGGCGGGGGGGGGAAGGCGTTGCGTTGGGCAACCCCGCAGGCCCTCCCCCCCCCCACCACGCCCGTTGTCGCCGCGAGTAGACAATGCTCTCCAAGCGCGGGCGGAAACGCCCGGAGCGAAGACATGGCGGCGCCAGGATCTCAGAGTCGCCCCCTCCTCTGGCGCAAAGGGGTGTCGAAGACGGTACGCTCGGCGGCCGCCCCGCGGGCGCGCGCCTGCGCGCCCGCGCGCGCCCGCGCGCGGCAAGGGGCGCCCGCGCCACATGGCGCCCGGCGAGGAGGGCGCCGGCGGAGGCGGGGCGCAGGACCCCGTAGAGCTCAAGGGCTCGGCCACAACTGGGAACGCTCACGAGGAGAATTAAAGGAGCCATTCCGCTGCCCTTCGCCCGTTTCCCCCGTCTCGGGCCTCCTGGGAGGGCCTCGTCGCCACCGTTGGATTCGCCTCGAAATCCAGTTCAGAACGCACCCCGGGAGAAGTCAGGGGAGTATGTGGCGGTGTCGGTACCTTTTGGTTTCCCCCCGGTCGGGAGTGTTTTGGATACGCCATGCGGACCTTACCGCTGGAGCCTTGAGTGAAGCTCCCAATGAGGTTATTGAACGTGTGTGTGTATGGGGGGGGGAATGCCGAATAGGGTGTGTGGGGAATGCGAAGCTCCCAATGAGGTTACTAAGCGTGTGTGTGTGTGTGTGTGTGTGTGTGTGCAGACCTTGCCGCTGAAGCTTTCGGTGAAGCTCCCGATGGGACGCACGGACCGTTTGAGGGGTGTGCCGAGTCGGGCGCGGGTACGCCATGCGGGCCCTGCCGCTGTGGCTTCGAGTTGAGCTCCCTACGGAGCCACGAACCGTGTGAAGGGTGTACCAGCATCGGCGTAGTGGCCTAGTGACGAGGATCATGGGGATACTGATGACGATGATGACAACGATGACGATGAGAACGCGGGATGGGAGGGGGGAGAAGGGGAAGGAGGAGGTGAGAGGGACGCGGGGCGCTGTTTCTTCAAAGCGAGGACCCAACAGCACAGGATGGTTTGCACAAAAACATGGAGAAGTAAGAGACATAGAGGGTACGTCCTGGAAGTTCTGTCGATGTATTTGTGAGTGTGTGTCCCTGGGCCCTTTGGCGGTCGTTTTTTTGTTGATAGCGTGTCGCTCCGCCGATTCATGGCCCACCACGCTTCGTCGTGACACGCTGTCCACTTCCCAGTCCCGTGGCCTCAACGTCCCGCGAGCTCCCGAGCCTCCCGCGCCGCGGAGCGGAGCGACACGGTATCCGCTTGCCAGTCATGATTAGCGTGCCACCGGGGCCGCCGCCACGCCACGCTAAGCAACAAATCCCGACCGTAGACAACACACAAACAAACGTCGCTTCTCATGCACAGGTTGGGAACTGCGGGCCATGGACGGGAAGGTTGATCCAGGAACTATGGCAACATGTTGGGAGTCCCTGAAGCTGCGTTGTGCCGATGCACTTGTGTGCGTGTGTGTGTGCGTGTGTGTGCGTGTGTGCGTGTGTGCGTGTGTGTGTGTGTGTGTGTGTGTGTGTGTGTGTGTGTGTGTGTGTGTGTGTGTTTGTGTGTGTGTCCCTGGGTCCCGTGAGGGGGCTGTTAAGCCCCATGGCCCATGCAGGCCGCTGCTGCCGCACCGCACGCAGCGCCCCGCGGGCCGCGGGCCCAACACTGCCCTCCCGTATCCCCGAGCGCCGCCGGAGGACCCCGCCGAGCTAAAGGCGGAGCTCTTCGTCCTGCTGGAGGCGAGCCCCGACCTCGCGGAGGCCGGGCCCAAGGCTCGGAGACCTCGCGGGGGTGAGAAGAGATCGGTCGGGGGCCCCGCGAGAGCTCGATTTCAGCAGCCAGCCTCGAGCCAATCCCCATCACTAAGACTGTCAAGCCCAAGGCAATAGCCATCTTGGGCAGGTGCCCTCGGAAGCCGTGCGAATCATCACGATCGGCATCGAGATGAGGTGATACCAATCTTCGCCCCCAGAATCTGTTTTTTTTATCCCCGGGCGATAACGGCTGTTCTCGGGGAAGGGCGAGGCGAGGTGGCTCGTAACGTCACGATTCGCGCCGGCGCCGTCTGGGAATTGGCTATAGCGCTAGCAGTTCTCAAACGGCGCCAGCGCGAACCATGACGTCACCAGGTGCGGGGGTGGAGGGGGGTAGCATCAGGTAGCAGCCGTTTTCGCGAATCGTAAAAACCTGGTTCTTGGCCCCCAGATCGATCGCGGGCGATGTGATTCGTTCGATGCTGGCGTTTCGGCCCTCATGGGGCCGTTCTCGGACGAGGAAATGCCCCTGGGGAGGGGGTCGGGACCTCTTGGGCCGCGCATCCACAAAAAATGGCACATCGTCGGATGTCTCGGCCTATGGGCGCTGATGTGTAAGCAAGTTCTATGCGCTCTCTCTCGGGAGCGTTATAGAGAAGCGACACCACCACCACCAGGAAGGCCACCTCCAGCGAGGAGGTCCACGATGCCTCCCCGGGCCAGAGACGGGGGATGTCTCGAGCTATCCGATAGGTGGCGGACCACACCACCAGGGGGACCCCCCTTGGCTCGTCCCGCTGGTGGTACCTGATGGTCGTGTTGGCGTCGCTTTTCCTTGCTCTTGGCCCCGGTTAACCCTCCCTTCTCTTCCCTAACTCCTCCGATCTCCTCCGAGCCAGCCTCATCAGGCAGGCCAGGGCCACAGAGTGCAGGCTATTTCATATCCCGCGAAGGGACAGGAGGAGTCTCTGCGAGCTGTAGCCGCCGCCGCTATCACTGCCCTGACTGGTTCCAAAGTTGAGCCACGGAAGAGTACGAGGTGGACTGCGCCGACGTTCGCGCGTAAGCCCTCTCGTCCGCGCGGTATGCCATGCCGGCGGCCGGCGTAAGCCGCGGCGCAAGGGAGCTATGATGTGTCTTCTCGCGTGAGGCTCGCTCGTGGTCATCGCTCATGCCCGGGTCCTCGCCCAGGCCGTCGACGGGCCCTGGGCCTCCAGAGGGCCGGGCCGCCTGCTTCTCGAGGCAAGGGCGCCCGAGGCGTCGCCGCAGTTTGCGGCGTGCGTGCGGGCGTGCGAGCCGTTTCAGAGCGGCCGGGCTGAGAAATCCGGGGGCGGCCAATGGGGCGTGGTGATGGTCAGAGGGGTGAACATCATGGCCGGGGCTGGCATCCCCCCCCAGACTCGTGATCCCTCCTGGTTCTTTTTTCAACATGTCCCCTGGTCCGCGCGCATGCCCCTGGCCGTGATTTGCGAGTCCTTCTGTTGGACGCTTCCGAGATCCTGGTCCTGTGGAAAAGGGTCGAGACGTCCTGGGGCCAATTCTACAGTTTCAGATGCTCACCCTATCTGGTACTACACCGATCCTGCCCAGGCCTATCCCGGGCCCATGATCAGTGCACACGTCTTCTTGGCCGCTTGGCACGCAGGGTGGATGCGCCACATGGTCCCTCCGGCATGGGACCAACCTGGCCAGGATCGGTGCAGGCGTACCCAGACGTCCCGCGTCTCGATCATCTCGAGACACGGGCCCCCGACCTCTTGACAACTTCCCCTGGGCCGCTGTTTCTCTCCGAGCCCCTTTTGGTTGTCGGCCCCGAGGCACGGGGAGGGCCCAGAGCGGTTGAAAAAATGATGGAGCACCTCCGCCTCGATCGGCACGAGACGCCAGCTGCCTGGATGTGTCCAGACGGCGCCCCCCCCCGGAGGCGGTGCTGGAGGCCCTGAAGAAGAGGGACGGGCGCTGGGCCTCGGTCAGCGCCCCGAAGTGCAAGCGCGTCCTGCAGCAGGTCCGGGCGGAGCTGGCGGAGCGGGCGGCCGCGGCGCTGAAGCGCCGCGCCACCGCCTTCGACTGCCCCGGGGGCCACGGCCTCGTGCGCTTCGCGGCCTCGCACGGGTCGTTCTGCTGCGACGTGTGCCGCGTCTACCAGCCGCTCCTCGCGGGCATGTGGGGCTGCCGCAAGTGCGACTGGGACGTGTGCGAGGCGCGGTGCCGCCCGAAGGATCGGGGAACGCCTGCACCGCTTCATCCGAAGCCGTCTCCTTTGTACGAGGTTCAGCCGGGTCGAAAATATCAGGACGGGTTCGTCTAGATACCGTCTGCAGGACGAGTTCATCCGAAGACGGGCTCATCCGAAGACGTGTTCACCCAGAGGCGAGATCATCCGCAGCCGAGTCCTCCTGGACGAGTTGATTCAGACAGCCTCATCTCGACGAGTTCGTCGGGAAGAGCGTCCTTCTCGATGGATTCGTCGCGGAAGAAATCGTTCAGGATGAATTGGTCGTCCTCCTCGGGCGTTGCCAGAGAACCCAGGACCTCCAACCTATTGAAGAAATCAGTGCTTAAGTTGTTCGTCGTTTTCTGCCTCTGAGGGCCCTCGCCAGGCCCCAGGACCGCCAGAGAACGGCTCGGGAACCGATGAGAAATGTTCGGACCCTGGTCCCAGGGAACGTCAAGGAACGATACGGGCCCTCGGGGCCGTCAAAGGGGACCCTGGTCCTGGGGTTGAGTCGGGCATGTCCCTCTACAGGAGGAGGGTTCAATAATAGTAAAAGAATAGTCGGTGACGATTTCTCGTGCTCTTTTGGCGATTTGTCGTGCTCTTTTTTTGGCATTGGAAAATTCAATGCGTCGAATCTATGGGGTTGGCCTATGCCGCAAGAGCCCCAGCTGTTCGCCGCTATCCTGGTGCCCCTCTGGGGCCCCGTGAGCCTCGGGGGGGGGGGGGCCTCTGTAGAGGCCACCTGAGCCGACATTTGCGGGCGCGCTGCCCGCGGAAGGCCGCGCGTAAGCGCCCTCGTTTCCAGTGTAGCGTACCATGCCGGCGGTCCGCGTAAGCCATGGCGTTGAAGGTCGCTGTGTACTGTCGCGTGAGACCCGCTTCTTTTCGTTGCCCACCCAGGCCTCTACGGGGAAGCCAGGGTCAACTTTCGGGCCAGGGCCACCCTGCAGACACCTTGTATCCCTTGGGGGAGGAGTTGGGGGGGGGAGGGGGCCGTTCACGTCACGATTCGCGCTGTCGCCGTCTGGGCATGCTAGAGAATGGCTCATTCCTGGACGGCGCCCGCGCCAATCATGGCGTGACTAGGGGAGGGGGTGGAAGGGGGGGCGGGGTCGGTCACGGGCGCTATCGTTGAGAAAATCAGAAAGGGCCCCTGTCGGCGGCGAGCCCCGGCGGGAAGTGAGAGGGGGCAGGCCTCCTCAGAGGGCACCAGGGCTATTCTCAGAAGCCCCCGCGCCTTCTGAGAAGTTTTCTGTGTCTCCAGGGAATGCTAAATTGAGCGACGGGACAGGCGGGGTTGTTTGCGCCGACCTTGGCGCTAATATGTCCGCGTAAGGGGGCGCGTAAGCGCCCTCGCTTCCAGCGTAGCGTGCCGCGCCGGCGGCCCTCGTAAGCCGCGGCGTAAGGTCGCGATGCCATCTCGCGTAAGACCCGTCCCTTCCCGTCGCCCAAGTAGGCACCGTCTCAGAAGGCCCGAGTCCCCCTCTCACTTCCCCCCTTGGCTCGCCGCTCACCGTCATCCTGGCGACTCCTGGGAGGACTCGCAGAGCCTGGTCGACCTGGACGCCACTTTCCGCAGCCTGGAGCTGCGCACCGGGGAGGCGGCCGCCCTCGCGCCCGCGGAGGCGAAGGCCGGCCTGGCGCAGGTCGAGGCCGAGGCGCGGCGGCGACGCGAGAGGGGGGCCGTGGCAGCTCAGGGCCCCTGGGGATGGGAGCCGAGCAGACGGGGTCGGCGGATCGCGCCGCGTCGCCGAGGCATCGCCGGCACGGCGCGACTTGGAGCCCGACTTTCCCCAGGCCAACGGCGCCGATGCATCGCCGACGTCGCAGCTGCATCCACCGATGAATCGGCGATGTGTCGGCGATGCGGGGCGGTCCTCCGACCCCATCTACGCGGACCCTATCTGGGAGGCCTCCAGCAGCGGAGGGTGGGTCACTATGAAGGGAGCCCCACCTCCGCGGAAAGATGCACTTTTTCAGGGGCAGCGTGAGGGGGGGATGGGTTTCGAGGTTCAAGGTTTCCGGGCGTTTTTGTCGGCCCGCGGCGGTTTTCCAGCCTCGGGCTGCATTTCCGCGGCTGCGCCTCACCGAAAGCATTCCGGGGGTTCCCAGATCGTCCCGAGCGGCCGACGGAGAGCCGAGCGATGACCCGAAAGCCAGTGGGCAACGTTTTGGGGGGGGATAATTAGGCTCATCTTGCGACGCATCGACCCCCCATCGCCCATTGGTCGCCGATGGGGGCCCGATAGCCCACCCCGTCCACGAAGGTGCGGATTCGCTATCGGGCGTCTATCGCCGATCTGTCTGCGATGTATCATTGATTCAAGCTCGATGTTTCTCTCGTTGAGCCAGTCCCCCCCCCCTCCTTGCCCTTCTTCCTCCTCTTCCTGTTCCTCCTCCCCCCGTGCTGGTTTAGGAGGCTGCGTGACTGCACGATGCAACCATGCAAACTACTCGGGATGGTATACGGGCCCTGGGGAAAGGGCGTCGGCACCACTTAAACACACTTACACTATATGTGCGCGTCGGCCCGGCAAGAGCGACCTGCGCGTGCAGAATGCTTATTGTATAGGCTTTGTGGGCAACGATTTGCTACACCGTGTTTCTATTATCTAATGACCTTCGGTCCATCCCGCCACCGTGCCTGGGTTGTGGGTATGAAGCTTATTGGATGTTCGTTGGATTCTTGTGTGAGGCTTCTCGGGAGCCTCTTGGAGGCAGTGTGGACGCCTCTTGGGGGCTGTGTGGCGGCATCTACGGGCCTCGTTTGGGCCTCTTGGTGTCCTCATGGGGGCCTCTTGGGGCCTCCTGGGCGCCTCTTGGGGCGGAAGGTTTGGAGTTTCTGCAGACGTAAACTCGTCGTGTCTCGGAAAATTCGTTGGGAAGGGTCGCATGGTCGATGATCCGGTCGATTGCACATTTCCTTCTTTGCTGTCCTCCTCTGGCCGATTAGGAGGTTGGGATGGCTGGAATGCGAAGCTTGATTTTTGGCGGGGGTCGATCGCTTCATGCGCGCGCCCGCACGCAGCCGTCGGGCCCGAAGGGCTCCTGCAGCCCAGCAGGGATTCAATGGTTTCATCCCTCAAGTTCTGCCCGCACGCCCCCACTGCCCCCGCCGGCCACCCCGCCTGGCGTGCGAGTACCTGGAGCCTCGCGCCTCACACCTCCAGGTCTGATGCCAGGCCTCGCCCCGAACCTCGGGCAGATGTTCACCAACAGAAGTGCCTACGGGCAGGGAGGGCTGGTCAAGCCCCCAGGCCAACCTGATCGGAGGTACGCTGCGGGGGCTGGAGAACTGCCCCTTGCGCGATGCCGCCCCCCGGCGATGATCGCTGGGAGCTGGCCGGGAGTCCCTCCGCCCAGCGCTCCCGCTCGCGACGCTGCGGCGGCGCCCGCAGCCCCGTTCTCGCTCGCCCCGCGTGGACGACCTGCCGGAGGAGCCCCGCCGCTCGGCGGCGGGAAGGAATTCCGAATATCGGGCCGGGCGAAAGGGGGGGATTGGGAAAGGGGGGGTTACGAAATCTGCTGCATGCAGCTGGTTTCGGCCCCACCGAGGGGCCCATTCCTCGATACATGGTCGCCTCCGGCGCCGGGAGGCGCCAGGAAAGTCAGCTACGTGAGCTGATTCTCAACCCCCCCCTTTGCTATCCCCCCCTTTTGCCCAACCCGAGAATACCTGCTCCGCGCCTTCAGCCCGCAAGGCAGCCCTGAGCTCAGGAACTTTTGAGGGTCACCGGTCTCCTTGAGGATGCCGGCTTCCGCGAGGCGTGGCAGCTCAAGTTGTTACCCGCGAGATCCTCCAGACTGCGTGCCTTGACCCGCTCTCTCTCTCTCTCTCTCTCTCTCTCTCTCTTTCGAGCTGCATCACCGGGCCTTCCTGCTGACTTCGGCCGTTGCGGAGAGTGCGCAGAAGGCCGCCGCCGCCGGCGGTACTGGCCCGAGCGCTGCCGCGGAGGGCGCCGATTTCCAGGCGGAGTCCGTTAACGCACTCCGGGCCATCGCCCGCAGGGCGAGGGCCGGCTGTGCCAAGCTGCGCGGGGACCTTTTCGGTATCTTCCGACTCAGACGACAAGGCCTGCGCCTCGGTGAACGTATGCAAGGGGGCTGAAGCGCCACGGGCTTAACGGCTTGCCGTTGGAGCACCTGCCGCAGGCGGCGCCTCTTCAGCAGCTACTCCAGCACGCCGCAAGGCCAGCCACGGGCGGCTCCTGTGGGTCACGGGCGAGCTGCAGAAAGATTCCGAGCCGCTAAAGAGGGCGTCGGACGCCAGTCTGCGCGCGTAACAGAAAGGTCAGACGTTCCAGTCGTTCGCGCACTTCGCCAGCTGCTGGTGGGCCAGGGCACTGTACCAACTCCCGCTCCAGGCGGACCTCAACAGCGAGGTCGCCACTTTCGAGCGATTGCTGAGGCGCTTCTTCGACTTGTGCCACATAGCGCAGGAGCTCGGGGTCATGGCCGCGTGCGATTGCGACCGCCAGGGATGGCTCCGCCTTGGCGCGCAGGTCGAAAACAAGGACCAGGCCCGTCGGTGGACCCCGACACGAGCTTAGGGTGGACCGGCCACGCCTTTCGCAGCGATGCGAAGGAGCAGTACAGCAGGGCGAAGCAGGCCGGCGAGGGCTCGGGCCGCAGTAGCTGGGGCGCTGGCAGGGGCCAGCAGGGCTGCGCAAGCCTGCCTGCGCGCGGGCACACGACCTCAGCGCCGCCGCCGCCGCCGCTGCCGCCCCCCGCCCCCGCGGGGGGCCCCCCGCGCCTGCGGCCCGAAGGGGGGCGGCAAGGGGAGGCGCTCGCCCGCAAAGTGCGGCGATAAGTTATGCAGGGCCGCGCGCCGCGCGCACGAGAGATGGCGGCCGTATGCCTTCGCATCGCGGCGTGCGATTCGTTGCGCCGCAGGCGCCTTTTCAAGGTGAAAGAGTAGACCCACCCTTGCCTCGACCTCCTCCTCAGCCACCCTCTCCTCGGAACTCGCCCCCTGTCCTTGCCCCCGCAGGGGATAGCCCGCAAGGCGCACTTTTGGGCGGCAGTGCATATGGCCATGTGCCCAGCGAAGCAGATGTCAGCGTTGCGCGCGCGAGTGAAAGGGGCCGTCGGTGCTCTCTTGGGCCGTCTTGGCGGCCCCCTGGGCCGTCTTGGCGGCCTCTTAGGCGTCGCGGGTCGATTGTCTGGCGTCTGGGGATTCTTTTGGGCCGTCTTGAAGGTCACCCTGGGCTCTCCTGGCCCGTTTTGGAGCCCTGGTGGGCCCGAAAGAGTCGCGCGACAGGCCGCGGGAACCCCCAGGGGAGCACGCGCCAAGCCCCGCGAGATTTGGCAAGTTGGGGTCCGGGGCCTTTTAAAGACTCCACAAGACTGAGGACTGAGTGTTATAGGGGATGGGGTACTGAGGGCACGCCCATTCCGCGCCCAAAGGCACAGTGGCGGATGCGTTCGGTGTTGCGGTCCGAGTTCCGAGGAGGGTGCATAGCATCAGTACGCCATTCTGCGTTCCATGGTCGGGGCATCTGGGGACAGCGTCTTGAACAAAAAAGGTCAAGATCTCTGGGGACCTGATCCCTGGAGGTCCCTGTATGCGCCCGCGGATGCCTCCGAAAGCCCGAGAGGAGGGTGTGCACTTATAACACTTTGCAGCAAGCGTCCATCGTGTTTGGAACTTCGCATAGCGTGTCGCGCCGCAGGTTCTGGCCCACCGCGCCTCTGCTCGACACTCTAACCACGTCCCAACCCCCAGGAGTCAAGATTCCAAGCCGTTCCTTGCCTCCCGCTCTGCGGAGCGGAGCGACACGCCATCCGCTTGCAAGGCGCAGTGTGTTGCTGGGGCCGTTTACGCGACACGCTAAGCACAAGTTCCCGACCGTATACCGAATCGCATTGTTACGCGTAGCCAGAACCATCCAAGGCACAGTCACGCGCGATTTTTCCCAGGCCATCACTGCCAGAGGGGATCCCGACGGGGATGGTGCGAGGGGGCAGGCATTTTCAGAAGGCTCAGGAGGCCTCTTGCCTTCTAAGGTTTCTGGGCCTTTTTTTTCCGAAGCAGCAGAGGGCTTCTCAGATGTCCGAGGGGCTTTTCAGAAGACCCGCCGCTTGCGCCGCCGAATCCAAATCGATGGGAACTCAACTCCATCCAAAGATGCGTATACAATGTGTGCGTTGTAGGCCACGCAAGGAAAGACGAGGCGCACGTTCGGAGATCTTGCAGTGCAAATTCCGTGGCTGGCATATACCGCTCGAGAGACGATGCGCTACAAGACGTTGCGCCGGATGCCACATGCTCGGGTATGCCGCGCGCTCCTTTACAGGAGCACACAGTAGGTCCAAATGCATCCCAGAAACTGCTGGCCTCCTGCGCGCCGCCGCGAGGTGCACGCGCTGGAGAAGGCGCTGGATTCCAAGGACCTCGCCGCCCTCGCGGAGCTGGAGCGGACGTCTGGCCGCGGCCCGACCTCCGAGGAGGCGGTCGCGCTTCCCGCCAGCGGGGCAATGAGCCGAAGCAGTAAGAGCAGCAGTCGGTCCGGAGCTTTCGTCTCAGCATGTCGCGGGGCCAGTTTTTTGGCCCACCGCGCTTCGTCGCGACACGCTATCCACTTCCCAGTCCCGAGGCTTCAGCGTCCCGAGCCTCGTCGAGCCTCCCGTCCCTCTGAGCAGAGCGACGCGCTATTCACTCGGAGTGCATAGCGTGTCGAGGGGCCGCCGCCGCGACGCGCGCTATGCAAAGCCGGCCCCTGAGAAATGGGTCGGGGTTTCTGAGAGCCCAATACAAAGGATAATTTTTGATTCGGTCTCCCAGCTTCGCGCCAGCGTGTCCCAACACTCAACCCTAGCTTTTACGGAGCACTTGTTTCTGCCCCGTGTCCAGTATTCTCAGGAACAGGAATCGCCCCGAATCAACAATATCCAGGTTTCCCCCGGATCAGATATGGTGACCCATGCAGGGGGCCTTACCCACACCAAGTCTATCTTGAATGATTCCGGTTTTGGTTCTCGAGTACAGCCAAAACGCTGCAGCAAACACCAAATTCGTTTCAGGAGGGGCTTTGGCTTCCATGAGGCCACCTCTTGAAATTCGTGACCGAGGCTCGTCAAGGCCAGGAAGGAGGAAGGCACCTTCGCGCCTGTCTCAGCATGCCTTCGCCGTAGCACGGTGGCCGTAAACCTCACACGGTAGCATTCCTTACGAGGAGATGTCTGGGGGTGGGCCTTTTGTCTCCCCTCCGCTCTCGGCCCTCCGCTCTCGGAACCACAGCAGAAGGGGTGGATGGGCCTCTCCCCGCCCGCCCTTGGGTGGAGTGGAGGCGGCCTCGATCAACATCGCCAGTAGTTCGCTACAGCTGCCGCCCATGTTGATGTGTTTCGTCTTCGGGGCCTGCTTGTCGCGTCCGCCTTCTTCACGGAGCGTGTGGGAGGCAGGAGGAGAAGGAGCGGGGAGGAGGAGAGGGAGGGGGGCGGAGAAAGAGGAATGTGGAGACGGAGGGGGAGGGGGAGGAGGCTGACCTGAACGCCTTGGAGGCGGAGGCGGCACCTAGCCCGCGGGTAGACGAGCAATAGGGTGCCCTTCCGACGGGCGTCCAGCGAAATTCTCGTTAGCCCTGCCTTTGGCAGCCTTCGGGGCCCGCAGACTCGCCAGCAGACCGTCGGCGGTTGATGTAACAAATGCTTTGCTTGGAAGGCCCAGGCGTTTCTGCCCGGGGGGAGGGAGGGGAGGAGGGGAGGGCGTGGCTCGGGCACCTGGCGGTACGTGCTCGAAGCAGCAAGGAGTGGGAGGGAAGACCCTTCGCGACAAAGTTCATTCGGGCGAATTCGCTTGTCCATGCTGAGTTCGTCAACCCCAGCGCTCGCGCAAGCCTCCCACCCGCACACCCGCAACTTCGTAGCAAAACCCAGATTGGCAGCGATAGCGATGATGACGATGACGCAAGTGATAATGACGACGGTGGGGACGATGTTGACGACACGACGACGACGGTTGTGATGGTGATTGTGATGATGCTGCTGGTGATGGTGTAACATCGAGGCAGCGCTTATGCTTGCGATGGCGCGAACGATGACGCTAGCGATTGATATGGTGATGATGATACGTTAGTGCGCGCCCGCAGCGGCTCTAATATCTTCATATATTGTGCTGGCCTCTGGCTAGTGCCGGGAATCCGGGGCGTTATGGATAACGACGATAATGATGATGATGTTGTTGATGATGATGATGATGATGATGATGCTGATGATGATGATAATGATGATGATGTTGATGACGATGGTGATGTTGATGCTGATGTTGATGATGCTGGCGATTATGATGATGTTGATGATGGTAATGCTGATGATGATGATGATGACGATGATGATACTGATGATGCTACTGCTGCTGCTGATGATGATGATGATGATGATGATGCGGATGATGGTGATGATGATGTTGCTGCTGCTGCTGATGAGGATTATGATGATGCTGATGATGATGATGATGATGATGATGCTGATGATGCTGATGATGATGATGATGATGATGATGATGATGATGATGATGTTTATCCTGGTAATGGCCATGGGGCCATCTTGGGCGTCTTGGACCCATCGTTCGGTGATTCGGTGCTTTCTTGGGCCGTCTTGAGGACCTTTTGGGGCCCTGTTGGCCGGTCTTGAGCCTCTCTTGGACTCTTGGGCTCGAGAAATTATGCGGGAACATTCTGGGGGCCCCAGAGGGCGCGCGGGGAGCCTCAAGAGATTTGAGAGCTTGGGGTCCGGGCCCATGAAGAATCCTCAGGCTTGAGGACTGAGGCTCAGGGGATTGAGCAAGGGACCTGGGGAAACCTCTTGTGGGTCGTTTTGGGGCCTCTTGGGGCCTCTTTCGGGCTTGGGGGCCTTCTGGGGCCTCCTGGGGGCTTCTTGGGGGCCTGTGGGCCCCGCCCCCGAGCACAAAATGCGTCGGGAGTGGCGTCCGCCCCCCGCCCCCCTCTTCCAGAGCCTCCTGGGGCCTTTTTGGGGGCCTTTGGGGGCCTCTGGGCCCCCCCGCCCGCGAGCACTAAATGCGTCGGGAATGGCGTTCCCCCCCCCACCTTACAGAGCGAAGCTTGAGCGAGCTCAAGTCCACGCTCCCAGAAAATCACACGCCGGATCGGCGGACTTGTGCTGGAAACAGCTCGGCCATCGTATGTGTTTGAACACCTATGCGCTGAAACTGGATTAACTTTCTGGCGTGCGCGCGCCATGCGGACGCGCGCGTGTGGCTCTCATGGTAGTGTTTGACATAGTTGGTTGGCTCGCGAAGGTGATTGAACTTTCTCGACATGCGCGCGCAAGTGGTCCACAGTGTCTAATCTGACAGGGTGGCTCAAAACCCCTAACTTTCTGTAGAGCTCAGCGGGCGCGCTCGCAATTTTCTGCTGAGCCACACATGATGCGTGACAGCGCCGTTGCCCAAATAGTACTGGCACTTAGAGGGTCCTACTCGTCTCCTTGTGGAACTGATTATTAATCGCTTCGCTCATTCCGCCGGCCCATACAGTCTCATGTCTGCCGTTTGCCCGAGGGCCTGGTGTCAATGCGGCGCTTTGGGGGTTCCTGGGGCCGCTTGGGGGACTCCTGGGGCGCTCGGGGGGGCATTTGGGGGGCCTCCTGGGGCCGCTTGGGGGACTCTTGGGGGCCTCCTGAGGGCCCCGTGGGGGCCTCTTGGGGCCTCTTAGGGGCCTCGTAGGGGCTTCTTAGGGCCGAGGGCTCGAAATGTTGTTTCGTGTTCCCTCTCTGGGGCCCCTTTGGGGGCGTTCTTGGGGCCCTCTTGGACCGTTTTGGAGGCTTCTTGGGCCGTCTTCGAGCCCTCTTGGGCCATCTTGGGGCCCTCTTGGGTGCCTCTTGGGCCCTCTTGGGGCGATCTTGGGGGCCTCTTGGGCCGTCTTGGGGCGTCGGGAAGCCGAAAAGGTGGAAGCTCCAAAATCTCTCAAAAACCTATGGAAAAACAATGATTTTTGCCTCCGGGGGCCCTATTGGGAGTGCTCTTGGAGGCCTCTTGGGGCGTCTGGGGGCTATCTTGGGCGTCTTGGAGCGATCTTGTGGCATGTCGGACCCCTCGTGTACCATCTTGGGGGCCTCTTGGGGGCCTCTTGGCCTTTCTTGGGGCTCTCGGGGACGTCTCGGAGCCCTGTTGGTGCGCTCATGGAGCGCTCGGGGGGACCCGGCCGGGACCCGGCCGGGACCCGGCCGGGGACCGGCCGGGACCTGGTCGGGGTACTTTTCGTCCGGGGACCCCCAGGGGCCGCCCCGCGCGCGCGAACTAGAAAATTGTTAACCAGTTACCGGAGATCTTAGCACGCCTCTGGCCCGTTGGGCCGGCGAATTTGCGGCGAGAATGTTTCACGTTGCCGCCCATTGCCGCCTCGTTGCCTTCTCGTGCGCTGAGTGGTTTTGGCGAGGAGTTGCCCAGTTGCCGCTTCGTTGCCGCCACGTTGCCGCTTGGTCCAGCGAGATTTCGCCACGTTGCTGCTCGATGCCTCCTCGTTGCCGTCTCGTGCGCTGGGTGGGTCTGGCGAGGTTTCGTCATGTTGCCGCCCGTTGTCGACTCGTTGCCGCCTTGTCCGCTGGGTCAGCCTGGCAAGGTTTCACCACGTTGCCGCCTGTTGCCGCGTTGCCACTTTGTCACAGCCTCGTTGCCGCCTCGTGGGTCCAGCGACGTTTCGCCACGTCGCAGCCCGTTGCTGCCTCGTTGCCGCCTTGTGCGTTGGGTGGGTCCCGCAATGTTCTGCCACGATGGTGCCACTTTGCCGCTTTGTTGCAGTTTGGTTGTCGCCTCGTGCGCTGAGTGGGTTCGGCAAGGTCCTGCCACATTGCCGCCTGTTGCCGCCTTGTTGACGCCTCGTGCGCTGGGTGGGTCCGGCGAGGTTTCGCCACGCTGCCGCGCGTTGCTTCCTCGTTGCCGCCTGGTTGCCGCCTCGTGCACTGGGTGGGACCGGCGAGGTTTCGCCACATTGCCGCCCGTTGCCGCCTCGTTGCCGCCTCGTGCGCTTGGTGGGACCTGCGAGGTTTTGCCACGCTGCCTCCCGTTGCCGCCTCTTTGCCGCCTCGTGCGCTGGGTTGGTCCACCAACGTTTCGCCCCGTTGCCGCCTCGTTGCCGCCTCGTTGCCGCCCGTTGCCGCCTCGTTGACGCCTCGTTCGCTGGGTTGGTCCAGCGAGGTTCCGCCAAGGTGCCGTAAATTACGACATTGCCGCTTGTTGCCTTCTCGTGGGCCCAGCGAGGTTTCGCCACGCTGCCGCCTCGTTGCCGCCTGGTTTCCGCCTCGTGCGCTGGGTAAGTCCAGCGAGGTTCCGCCACTTTGCCGCCCATTGCCGCAACTTGGGTTCGGCGAGTTTCCTTCATGTTGGCGGCCGTTGCCGCCTCCTTGCTGCCTCGTGAGCTGGGTGGGTCCGCCGAGATTTCTCCGTGTTGCCACCCGTTGCCGCCTTGTTGCCGTTTCGTGCGCTTGGTGGG